CAGGTGCCTCTGGTAAGTCCACCTGTGGAACATAAGTACAATAACATTCTAAGTGTACATACACAAACCTATTTCCCTGGTTATAAACACTGTTGTGCTCATATAACTCAAGAGTTAGAAAGGTAGCCTTTGTACTGTATGTGTGTTTGGTTTGAAGGTTAATGTCTGCTGTTATGATTAGTAGTACATGTGGTTCTTCTTCTGGCCATCCAAGAGAACATAAGCAAGAGAAGGCAAATGTATCTGTTTAACTTGTAACTGCACTGCACTGCACTTCTGTGAAGCAAACAATACAGTCATTTCCCAAAACACAAAATATGAATGTTATTTAGAGTATAGCTGCACCCTCATGTGGTCTCACTCCAGCATTTCAGTGTAAGGAATTCATAGGAACCTGAGAAGAACTTCTGGCAGAACAAAATCAGATTGTACATTACTCTGAGAACTTCTCGTTCTCATGATTTTTAAAATAATTTATTTCGTTTTAAACATATTATTTTTATTTTTTATTTATTTAATTTATACTTCGCCCATCTAGACTGAAGTCTACTCTGTGGGGCTAACAACAATCCAGATAAAATAAAACAGCAACATTAATACAATTGAAAGTGGCCATAAATAAATTAGATATTGACAGGAGGGAAGGCCTGCCTAAAGGCCTTGAATTTGCTCTTAAAAGCACCCAGTGAGGGAGCCAGACAAATTTCTGAGGGAAGATGTTTTTAAAATAGGGTTTAAAAACCCCACCAATGACAAAATCACAGCAATTAATAGCAGGAATGAGAGTTATAACAGAACTGAAGCTCCTGACATAAAATTATTTTCACAATTTATGACATATTTCCATAGGAATCCATGGTGAACTGTAGGAATAGAGCTGGTTACCCATCATCATTTACATGACCAGTAAAGAATAGACAGTATCGTGACTTTGAGCATTTCTTACTCTTAAGACACCAGTGGTTATCAGTATTCATGGAGTGTAGCAAAAAATTAGAGCTGGAAAAAGGAGAATGTTCTGCAAAATGGGGATGTTACTTTAATTTCCTTGATTGATATTAATGTGGTTGTGATTGCTTGGTCATCCTAAGAATCTTCATATTTGAGATATAGCTGGAATTTAGGTAGTATAGTTGAAGGTGGCATTGAGTGTGAGAGAGCATCAGAAGCATTGTATGTATAAAGGCTGTCAATAGCGTATTGAAGGAACAGAGTAATTTAGAAGTGCTTCTCTCTGGCCAAAGTCAACCCCATCACTCAAGAACACGTTCTCTTCCTGTTTTAATGTTGGTTAATGCTGCTGATGTTTCCTGGAATGAGACATTGAGGAAGACAATTTAAGCAGAAATGTTTAAGAGCCCAATAACAAATGTTGTATAACAGTGGTTCCCAACCTTGGACTGCAGTACCCATAAGCCTTTACCACCAGCTGTACTGTCCAGGGTTTCTGGGAGTTGCAGTTCAAGAACACCTAGGTTACCCAAGGTTGGCAGTCATTGCCAATAATATAATTGTGTGCCATCATGTCAATTTTGACTTATGTCAACCCTTTCCAGGGTTTTCTAGGTAGAGAGTACAGTACTCGGAAGTGGTTTACTATTCCCTTCTTCTGGGGGTACTCGGGCTATGCAGCTTGCCTATGGCTACACAGACTGGCTCTTCTCCCAGGAGGCACAGCAAGGAATCAAGTGCCCAAACTCTGGCTCCACAACTAAATACCTAAACCTCCGAGCTATCCAGCCAAGTTCAAATATCATATTTTTCTCTATATGGTGCTTTTGTACCTGTGGCCATTACTACACTAACTGGCTGTAGCTGTCAACTAATTACTGAAATGTTGATGCCCACTTTTTAGATCATCTTAATAGACTTTTACTGTTTCTACCAAACAGCCCCAGGAAGAGTCAGCTCTGTAGGAAAAGACTACAGTATTTGTCTTCATAATTTTGAGAATCATGGGGCCAATACAGGCAACCTTTAGCCATAAATGACTGGGATGTATGAGGCCTTTCCATGCAGCTGAGGACTACTTGTGAATGAGGAAGCAGGTGACAAAGAACAATTGTGTGGGGGAAAATGTGACTGCCTGTGATCTTGTGAATGTGTTACACTGCATACAGACCCAAGACACAACCTCATGGAAAAATATTTTCTGTACTGTGATGGGTACAGTAGACCCAAAAGGTGTAGTTGAAAGAAGGGGTTGACTGTTTAGTGCACTAGTAGGTTAAAAGCTGATTTTATGCATTTTATGCATTCGAAGTTAGGGAAAGCATGTTACATAGCCCTCTGAAACTTCATGTGGGCAAAGAAAGTAAATGCTGCTTTGAAAATTGAGTAACAATGTGCTTGTTTAGTCATAGATAGTGCCATATGGTAAGTTCAAGTAGGCTACCACTGTGCATTTTAGGCCTTTCAGTAGAAAGACAACATTTTTCTAACAAAAGCGGTTGGAGATTCTTGGCTATAAATGAAGGAAGACCAGCAGTTATCACTTCAGTAGTATCTGCACTGCTGGAGTGGCACCTAAAATTAATGGGTCTGTCTATCATTTATAACAAAGTCATCCATCAAAGACAGAATGTTCACACCTCACAGCAAGAGCTGCCAGGTGGAATTGTGCCTTTGCCCTCATCTTGCCATGGGCAGGAAGGTTTCCACTCAGTGAGGCATTTCTGGAAAGCGTTCAGGCCCAAGCAGCTTGTTTATACGTAGTAGGACTTCCCCCTGCTCTGCCATCACCACTGTCCTCCCCCTGATCTTTTGACAACTTATTATGTGTTCCTGGGAAGCTGCTGCAGCTGTCACGGCCTTCTTGCCTTTCAGGCTGTCTCACACTGGGCCCATTCTCCATGTTGCACATGTTTGGTACCTCTGGGGTGGTCAACTAGTGGCAAGCTTAGGGCCATGTGGGAGGGAACAGCTGAAAGGGCCCCATGATGTTGGAGTCTCCTTCCTCCCTGTATGGAGTCCTGCTTTTTTATAAAACCTTTCATTTATAAACATTTAAAGAAAACATGCCGATATTAGAAGAGGAAAATGTGTTAGTCTGTGCAAGCATATCAGGCAAAAGCAAAAAAATTAAAAAGATGAAAATGCTGTGGCACCTTAAAGACACATATTTTTTATGTAAGCTTTCATGAACCTTTTTCACCCTCTTCTTCAGACATATCTGTCTGAATAAGTGGGCGAAGAAGCTCCATGAAAGCTTACATTAAAACACAACAGTCTTTAAGGTGCCATAACGTTTATGCAGATATTATTCCACCTGATTGTTCAGCAGAAGGAAAATATACTATATTCCAGTACTTTGAATGCAAAAGCATGTAAATGCACACAGATCCTAAATGTAAGCAGGTACTCCACAAGCATGCAGATATTTTTTTAAAAAATGTAAAATAATGTAATAAATTGCAAATCTTCAAACTGTTGATATTACTTAACAATAGTGCTTAGCCATTTTAATAAATGTAATTCTTGCTTGACCATGGAAACTGGGAGTGGAAGCAGGATGGAACTGGTGAAACCACTCATTATGTATCACACTACCTTGAAAGCTCTATAAGGACCCTATATTTATTATTTATTTAAAATATTTTTATCCTGCCTTTCTCCATAAAAAGCACCCAAGGTGGCTTACATCGTTAAAAAGAAAATTATTAAAAAGCTAAAAACAAAGTACTGTATACAAATATTTAAAAAGAATTGTACATTGAATAAGGATTGTATTTAAAGCAGTAAATAAAATTAATACTAAAACACATTTAAAACAACAGAGCACAACAATCTTCGAGTTTATGGCACATAATTCTCTCTCTCTCTCTCTCTCTCTCTCACACACACACACACACACACATGTCCTGTGTTATATGTGAATTTATCTTTGGAAACCATCTTGGAATTTCAAGTGGTACAGAAAAGAGTGGTTTCTGGGTTCAATACTGAGGCCAGCTTCTAAAGCTCTAAATGGTTTAGGACATGTCTACCTGTCAGATTGCCCACTCCCATTTGTTCCTTGCAGTCATGGTGTTCCTTCCACACAGCTATAAAAATGTGGTGTGTTGAGAAACCCTCTGGTGCACTCAGAGTAATAGGGCCCTCCAAATATAGCAAAATTGCTTCCCATGTCCCTAAATAGCACAGCAGGACTTTCTGAGCTAAAAAGGTTTTTTTAAAAAAGTTTATAAATTGTGGTTAGTGGGTCCACATGTTGCCCATACCTGATTTAAATGGAAGAGAAAGATCTAGATTTTGTTTAGTTTTCTTTCTTTTTCTTGTTTCAATTGTATTCCAGGCTTTTGATATCTTAACAGTTCACTCTTTCATCCTTTTGATGCAGTTACAATTTATTTGCTTATTTTTATGGATCTGTGACTTCATTGTTATTTTTCAGTATTTCATACATTTAGGTGGGGTGGGGTGTGTGTGTGTGTGTGTGTGTGTGTGTGTG